GAGTAGCTGGGACTACAGGCATGCACCACCATGCCCGGCTAATTTTTTCTAAGATGCATGTTTTTCATATTTTGACATCTCTGAAATGTTATAGCTTAATTGGTATTTTTTATTCTTTCTGCATAATCCATACAATAATGGAGGTGTATTAGATAGAAGGCATTTTAGATTGGATGATGTGCTCACTTTTCTGGTCACTAAATTGCTGCTCAGTTTTTTCTTTCTCATCTTAAAGATAGTTTGAACCATAATTATCAGCTGGATATGAAGATATTTCCTGTAGAAGAGGAATCACTCCTTTTTAATTAATAATTAAATCTTAAGTCCCACATTCAGTCTTTTTAAAAAGTCATTTTCATTGTATATACTTTCAGATAATCGATTATTTGATATTTTCAATGGACTGATTTCTAGCAAAAATATTTAATGTTTATTCTCTGATCTAATGGTTTGCTTTTTAGCATAGGTAAAACCCAAACTACTTGATTTCCTTTGATAAACACAAACCCTATTATTTGTTTAGCACCTTCCCCTACCTCTACTAAATAAACAGAAATCCATAGATTGCCCTTTCTAGAGAGGATATTGGAATCTTTTATGCTAATGGCTTTGATTTGATCCTCACATCATCTCTGGAGTTGTAAGCCTGTAATTTTTATGTTAAATATATACATTGGAAGATTTATCCTGACTGAAGTCTTCGAAAAATGAATAAAGGAACAATAGAATAAAACCTGATGTTTGATTTTCCGTGATAACCATGGGAATTTTGTTATTGGTGTTGTAATAATAGCTGTTGTATTCTTAATGACCAGGTGTGAGTCTTCAGAAACACATAAGTGGTGTTTTAGATTTGGCCATAAATAATGAAGCCAAGGTTCACTCCAGAAATCTAACAAAATGGTTTTTAAAAAAAACCCAAAGATCGGCTGGGCGCAGTGGCTCACGCCTGTAATCCTAGCTCTCTGGGAGGCCAAGGCGGGCGGATTGTTTGAGCTCAAGAGTTCGAAACCAGCCTGAGCAAGAGCGAGACCCCGTCTCTACTAAAAATAGAAAGAAATTAATCGGACAACTAAAAATGCATAGAAAAAATTAGCCGGGCATGCTGGCGCATGCCTGTAGTCCCAGCTACTCGGGAGGCTGAGGCAGAAGGATTGCTTGAGCCCAGGAGTTTGAGGTTGCTGTGAGCTAGGCTGACGCCACGGCACTCTAGCCCGGGCAACACAGTGAGACTCTGTCTCAAAAAAAAAAAAAAAACCAAAGATCAACTATGAAGATAAGAGTCTGGCCCCAGAGCGCTTTACTATTTTAAAAAATAACAGCGTGAGAGAAAGTTACTATTCTTTGAATATATTTTTTTAAAAAATCACATAAACGTAAACATTTTCATTTTTTGCTGGGCATTATTAGAAGTATTTAATTTTGTCTTAAAGTCTGTAAAAGTACTTGGTGGATAGAACAGTTGCAGATCTATTGAACTTCATTTGAATTTGAGTTATGTAAGTGGGAAGTCTGACAATCAATCTCAATTATTAGAATAGAAAGCATTAGGATTATGGAATTAATAGATTCAGAGGCATGGTAATCTCATTAGAATTAAGCTTTAGGGTGCCTGCTGTTTTCTGTGGTAATAGTGTAGGGATAGGCTAGGTATATTTTACAGTTAAAATTCTGGAAAAGTCAGAAAAAAGTAATTTTAAGAATCTGTTTAGGCCGC